GCTGAGCATTTTTTGAATGCTTATTGCATGCTAAGTCCTAGAGATTCAAGTTGAAAAACTCACAAGAGTGGGAGAAAGAATACACATATGAATAAATATGATATGGAGTCCTAATATGGCATTGTAGGATAAACACTGCACTGCTAGTCCCAAGGTTGAATTAGCAGCATAATGTTTACCACAATTCAAACCCACCAGCCGCTTCTAGGAAACCCTATACAGGTTCACTGTTAGTCAGAACCTACTCAATGGCACCATCATCACCACCACCATTCTATTGGTGTGGCTATTGGACTCTTCAGAAAAAAGTATTGCTTCCTCCAATAGAACCTACAGAAAGATTATTTGAGAGGTGAAATAATGTACCCCCCCAACAGAGTTCCCATCTTTTTTCGTGGAACCTGTGAATGTGTTATGCTGTGTGGCAAAGGGGAAATAAGGTTGCAGCTGGGATTAAAGTTGCTAGTTGTTGTTGTTAAGTGCCTTCGAGTTAGTTCTGATTTAACTGACTTTTAAAATAGGGAGATTATCCTGGATTATCTGGATAAACCCAGTGTAATTACAGGGGTCCTTCAAAGTAGAAGAGGGAGGCAGAACAAGAGGTCAGATTGATGTAGTGTGAAAAGAACTCAACCTGTCTTTGCTACCTTTGAAGATGGAGGAGGGAAGGGACCCATGAGCCAAGGAATGTAGGTGAACACTAAAGGGAAGGAGACAGATTCTCTCCAGAAAGGATGCAGCTCTGCTAACGCCTTAATTTAGTACAGTGAGACCAGTGTTGCATTTCTGAGTTACAGAACTATAAGATAATAAACTTATATTGTTTAAACTACCAAGTATGTGGTAATTTGTTATAGCAAATCAGAAAACCAATACAATTACAAATATCTGAAATCTATCAATAGGAGACTGATTTAACTGAATTTTGGTACATCCATACAATGGAAAACTATGAATGGAAACAAGTTATTAAGTGAAAAAAGCAAAAACAGAAAAAAGATACAATGTGCTTCCATTTATATATTTTAGAGAGAACATATGCTATGCTTGCATGTACATAGATTATCTCTGCAAGAATGCCCAAGAAGTTGGCATAGTGATTACTTCTGGGATGGGGTGGTAGAGAACCAAGAGATGGGGGAATAGGGATTGAAGGAAGTCTTAAATATTCTTCATAGCTTCTGAATATTGCTTATTGTTTTAAAATGTGTCATTTGGGAATAGGAACTATAGAGAGACTTTTCTCAATTTGATCTTCTCTAGACTGTAAAATTGCTTTGTCAGGATAAATAAGACCTGTTTCTTGTCTTAACTTTTAAAGGGTTGCAGGTTCTTAGTCCCAAAGTTACCAGGCTTTAAGGTAAAATTGTATTTTATTGTTTCTTGTCTAATAGTATAGTTTCAAAAGAATCCCTTTAAATTCTTTAAGAACAGTGGCCAAATGAAGGAAAAGAACAAAGAAAGAAAGAAAAACACCAATATTATCATATACCCATGTTGCTAAGGGCTGTCAAGTTGGTTCCATCTCATAGCAACCCTGGATAGGGTTTCCAAGGCTGTACATCCTTGCAGGGGCAGAAAGCTTCATCTTTTTTCCTATGGAGGGGCTGGTGGGTTCAAACTGCAGTGCTTATTGTACAGAGCCTCCACACTCCCCATATATCCTGTAACAGGGAAGAAATAGCTGTGGGTTAATGCGCCAGACTGCAAAGCCATTTGAACTGCAAGCTCACCAGTCTCTCCTCAGAAACCCTATACAGGGTCACTGTGGGTTGGAACTGACTTGACAGCACTTAACAACAACAACAACAGCACCAGGTTTCAACTCTTGTGGAATTATTTAAGACTTCTGCTTGCAAATAGTTCAGTAAATGTACAACTTAGATTTTAACACTCTTCAAAGCTTCCTTGCACCATACATTCCTTATAAAGATTCCAATACTGTTTGTTGCTTAAAAACTGTTCTGGATGGAAACGCTCTTGTTACGTCAGTATGAATGTGTTTTTCTTACCAACAATATTAGCCCATATTTTTTCCAAGCAATACTTGGCTAAAGGGATATATTTTCACAAAGATCCTTATCTTTGTGTTTTTTTTATTTCCATAAAAAACAAACAAAACTGGTTCTATTTGGAACCTGCCCTGTTATCTTTACCTCATTGTTTGGAAATTTATTATAGGTAATTTAGCACCCAAAAAAGTGTTTGGTACATAGTTATTGTTGTTAAGTGTTGTCAAGTTGATTCCAACTCACAGCAACCCTGTGTAGGATTTTCAAAATTACAAAAAAAAAAAAATTTTTTTTTGATAAAGGAAATAAAGTTAAATTGCTACAATTTGATGAACTTGACCTATACTCAAGAGAGTATAGGTCTAAATACCAACAGGGCAGGAGTCTTCACATCAAGTGTCAGTGCTATCCCCTCTGTACACAGGTTAGATAGAGACGGGCAACTTAGACATTGGCTACCTAAAATGAGGGGGTGATAAAGGCACGAAGTGACTGGCTTACAAGGTTTCAAGAAGGAATTTAGTTTAAGAATATGGGAGGAATGAAGGAGTCTCCACTGAATAGATTTTGTCTTGTTTAATGGGTCTGGTGAAAAGAGATGGGGATAAGGATTCAATAGTGAATAATTGTTATCATGACTAATTGCGACTGTCACAATTGTAAAAGTAGAAGTTTTGTAACAAAAACGGGAGTGGTTAATCTTACAGTCCAGAAACGGAGGACCCTAAGACCATCAAGGGAGAAGCGCACAAGCAGAATGCAGGACCTTATACAGAGAAGCAGCGATGCCAGAGATAGAGGCAGAGATGGGGGCAAGGAAAGGGGGAGAGGCTGAGGACTCTAGATTCATGGGAAGAAAGGGACTAAGAGCTGGTGGCCAGAAGGCAGACTTACAGAATGTGCCCTTTGGAGATGTAAATTATTATATATGCCTGAGGTTTTGTTTTTGTTTTTGTTTTAATGCTAAAATGAATAGAGAGAAATACTGTTAACTGATGGTACATGGAGGGGATTATAATCATTGTGATGAAACTAGGTGTATGACTTGTTAAATGTAAAATTGATGATCTGCCCTGTAAACTTTCACTCAATCCACAATAAAAATCTTAAAAAAAAAAAAAAAAAAAAATTATTTTGAAAGAGCCAGTGTAAGCAAACTTGCTGAAATATTTAAAAGAATGAAAACTTCAAAATCATATCTAATGTAAATTAAGATTAATTAATTTGTATTTTTTTTTCAGTTTAAGGAGTCCTGGTGGTGCTGTGGGTAGTCATTGGGCTGCTAACCACAAGGTCAGTGGTTCAGACCCGTCAGCAGCTCTGCAAGAGATGAGGCTGTCTACTCCTATGAAGATTTAGTCTTGGAAACTCTAAGTAGGGTTGCTATTAGTTGGAATTGATCTGTTTTGATATGAGAGCTTGGAAGAATTGAAAGCAGCCTTTATCTCTATCTTATTAATGACTTAAAATATTATTTACCTAGTTTTAGCTTTCCTAATATAATTTTAAACATCTTTACATATCTTGAAGACTCATAAAAATAAGACAGATGGAGAGTAAATTTTTATGCCCACTAAAATGAAAGAGTGACTGCATTTGCATCATTTAAAAGGTGATTTTGGTTACTTCTATTAGAGGGAGGGATAATGGAAAATGAGATTTGGTTGTAAGAAGGAAACCCCCAGTGGGCAAAGCTTCAAGGTAGGAAAATAGCAAGAAGGAAGTAAACCAAGAAGAACAAGGCAGTTACCAGAAATAGTAACTCTGAGTTTTACTTACTATTATTTAAGTATATTTCCACTCTAAAACTCTTATCTCTGCAGCAGTTTTGCAAGTTGAAATTGTCTCAGCTTTGACAACTCAGGAGTCAGCTAGGATAGTCATGTTGTTGTTGTTAAGTGCCGTCGAGTCAATTCTGACCCATAGCAACCCTTTACAGGATTTCCAAGGTTTGAACAGCTGACCTTGTGGTTCGCAGTACAGTGATTATCTGACAGTGCCACACCAGGACTCCAGGATAGTCATAGAGTAGTTATATATAATTACATTTCAGTGATTGGTAGTCAGAAGTTTTGATAACATAAACATCAGGGCTGTCTAGGGATAACTCCATTTTCATCAGCTGTTACCCAAATAGCAAACATTTGAATGGAACGTAATGGGTCAGACTTGGAGCTTTTTCTGTTACCTTTTTTTTGTGTGGTGGTGTTATTCATAAGGGAAAAATAATCTTGTGTGACCAGCTAACTGTTTCACTCCTTTGTCTCATTTCCCTTATCTGTCATCCTCTGGACAGATTTTTAAAAAGAGATTGGAGAATGCAAGAAAGGGACTTATTTTATTTTTTGGCATCTGTCAGGGGGAGTTGGGTAGGACATGTTTTTTGGCTCTTCTTATAAATATTTGGTAGCAGATGCTAATGAGGCCAGTCTAGTGGGTTTGATCCCCTAATCAGGACCTATGTTACATTCTCTAAATAGTCACATGAAATATGCCTTTAGATGTGAAGATAGACTAACATAAACCTATCACTAGCCTAGAAAGGGCTCAGAATACATTCTGTGAAGGGTTTGTAGCATCATCTTTACAGAAAAAAATGACAGCCTTTTGCCCAAACAGAAAAGTAGAGAAAATGTTTCCTCTAATCGGACATTCTTCAGTTGATTTTCATTCACCTAACCAGTCACCCCAATGAGATGGTTTGGCACAGTGGCAGCCGCGATGGGCTCAAATATAACTACATTTATGAAGTTGGCTCAGAACTGGGCATTGTTTCGTTCTGTTGTGCATAGGGTCGCTATGAGTCGGTACTGACTCGATGGCATTCTAACAACTACCAGTCACCTTGTTGGCTCTATTCTCTCCAAAATAGTCATCACTAATCAGAAATGCAGCCTCTCACATATGAGCTAACATTGACGCAGTGATTTCCTCTTGCTTAAGAGCTCATTCACCAGGATCTCTGAAATGATCTTGATTGTATTGCAGAGCTCTCATTTGGAAGACAGTGAGTCAGCAGTGTTACTTTGCTGTGAATGTGAAGAATCAGAGATCTTTAGTGATTCCAATGTACGTAGGTATATGTTTTCATACAGCCTTTGTTAATCCAAGTTAAAAAGCTCGTTGAGTAAATTTGGCTCATAAATGCAGCTGAGAAAGTGCCTGCTATTGCATCTGTTTGGCCGCATTCAGCCAAGTAAATATCAGAACCACAAGTTGATTTGAATTTTCACACAGTAAAACAGTAATTCATTCTAGTAAATGGAGATTTTGATGTGAAGTTTCATGAAGAATGAGCCTTTCTGGTTAAACACACATGATGGGTACTGAGGAATCAGAGACTAATGATTCATAGGCTGAATTCTCACCACTTTTTCACATAAGAAGTTCATTGTCCTCATAATTAAGATGAGAACTTTAAAAACGAATCTAATCATACTTAAGCTGGACCTTTTATAATAAGACCTGGTATCAAAATGTTATTTAGGGCTTATTAAAGAGCTTTGAAAGGACATGTATTTTCTGGAGTGACTGAGTTTAGTGATTTAGGGAGGAGCAGATTCTTTCAGACCTATGTTTTAGTAAATCTGCCAATTTTAGATCTTTAGCTTTTAGAACCTTAGAATTTCTTCATATATAGAAATACTGCTTGAAATGTTTCATATATCAGAAGAAGCCAACCATTTCTGATAGTTGTTTGTTGTTGTGAAGTGCTGCTGAGTCGGTTCCGACCCATAGCGACCCTGTATAGGGTTTCTGAGAAGCAGCTGGTGAGCTTGAACCACCGACCTTGCAGTTCAAACGGCTTTGCAGTCTGGCTCATTAACCCACAGTGCCACACTAGGACTCCTCTGATAGTTGTAGAATACCTAATATCAGCTTATAAATATAGTATGTAAGAAAGTAAATTTGATTACAGAAAATGTGTAAGATGTGCAACTATGTGGGAGTTCGAAGTAAAATCGTTATTTTCTTAAGGTAAGACCATTAATTCCAAGATTGGAGGAGTGCAGAAAACTAGGAAGGGAAGTAAGGGAAATGTCTTTATTTCAATAAACTAATATAAATAATACTTGTGGTACTGATAGGGTCTCAAAGCCATTGTGATGTCAGTGATAGCTATATTGCCTTGCTCTGCCAGCCTACTTGAGGCAGGTTGTCCACAGTTTCTTTCTTTTTTTAAGCCTTTATTGTGAATTGAGTGAAGGCTTACAGGGGAGATCATCAGTTTTACATTCAGCAAATCATTGCAATGATTACAATCCCCTGCATGCACCATCAGATAACAGTATTTACCTCTATTACCTTTTTTTTTTTTCTTCTTTTTCTAATGTACGCATATCACATTGAAAATATATATTCATTTAAATGTCCAAAGGGCATATTTTGCAACTTGGCCTCCTGCCTGCAGGCACACTGCTTTTCTCAGTGCATAGGCCTATAGTCCTCTGCTGCTCAGTCTCTCTATGCCATCGCCTCTGCCACCATCTCTATTGTTGCCACTTTTCTGGTTAGGATCACTGGCTCTTCTCATGCTCTTCCCTCTTGATCCTAGGATCCTCTGTCCTGAAATGATGATTAATTGCTCCCCCCTTTTAATCACACCTCTTCTATATTTGTAGTAGTGACAATTGCAATTGGTCTTGATAACAGTTACTCACAATTGAATCATAAGATCCTATCCCTATCATCTGCAGACCATCCGGACAAGAGGAAAACTATTCGGTAGGGATTCTGTCTTACCCCCCTTATTCTGACACTAACCACCCCCATGGAAGCTTGTAAGTCAGCTACTTCATGACTTTATAGCCTCCCAGTTTTGATAACTGAAGTCTAAGTTGCTCATACCTATCAACCCAGTGCACTGAGGAGGCAAACTTGATCCTTGATACGAAAAATCCTTCCCTTTCAGTTGGAATTTTGGGCAACTTCATCGATAAGCAAAGGTCCGGTTCATCAAGTTGTAGCAATTTACACTTGCTCCCTGTATCAAACTTGTTTGTAGTCATCTGATTGAGTTCTGGTCAGTGAGCCATCCAAACTAGGTCAAATGAGTACCAGCTACAAGTCTGGGAGTTCTTGCCTACCTCCCCACGACTTCAGGCCAGCTGGCTACTTCACTCTTAACTTTAGTCCCCAGTGGCTGGGTCAGTGTCCTTGAGCTCAGCAGTTCACCTGATTCCCTGAACTTCAAACCAGCCAGCCCTTCCTCTTCTCTCATCCCAAGGTCAGGGGGTGTCTATGGAACATGGCCAGACTCAGCCCATGTCTTCATTGCTGCCTTTCCCCCAATTGGCCAGGGCAGTCACCAGCAAGCCTATTTGTTCATGTGTTCTCTTTGGGTTTTAGTCTTAGAAAGGGGTTTACCCTGATGGGCTGACTTTTCTTGCTTTGATGGCTCCAAGGCAAATAGCTTGCTTGATATGATCACAGCCAAACAGTCTGCTTTTTTATTATTCCCTGCTGGTCTTTCTTTCAAGAAGTATCTTCTTTTCCTCTGTCCATTCCAGGTTGGTCTGCATGACTTTTCAATTGGGAGTGACCATCTACAAAAATTCTGGATGGGGCTCAGGATTCCGTACTTTGCAAAGGCATAACGAGACGTCTTATTTCCCTGGGCACATTCTAGTACCCTTTTAGCTAATACAATCAGTTATAGGTTGAAGATGGGCTCATAAGCTTATTTCCCAATATTTCTTTCTATTCCATTTAAATACCTATATTACAATACTAGACAGGGGAAACTAGTATCCACAAACATCTGTCCACATTTTCTTAACTACACTTCCAAAATCCAAAACACTCTGAAGTCTAAGAGGCTTTCACAATACCTGACCTGAACTGCTAAGAACCATTTATGTTGTTGTTGTTAAGTGCAGTCAAGTCGGTTCTGACTCACAGTGACCCTATGTAGGGTTTCCGAGGAGCAGATGGTAAGCCTTAACTGACAGTCTTGCAGTTGAACTGACCGAACTGACTGAACCACCAACCTTATAGTCCAGCGCATTAACCCACAGTGCCTCACCAGAACTCCAGAACCACTTATAGCTTTTATTTATTCTAGTAAAGGTGAATATTATATACTTTTCTGCTGAGTTGTACAAATCTTGGCCATAAGCTGGGTTCTGTTTTAAGATGTTTATTGTGTATAGTTGACACTTGATATAAAAGAGGGCTTCAAAAAGTTTGTGGAAAAATAGAATGAAAAGATAATGGATGAAACAAGTTGTGCCTCTAGTATATCACCATTCTACTGTTTGCTCCTGGTACAATGAAGGTAGTCACCATTTTAGGATTTCATGCACCTATTTTATTGATTTGCCTGATTGCACTTCATTGGATGTTAATGAGGAGTTAGTTTCTGTATTGGAGTCCTCTGGATTTAAATTGGCTTATTGTGTGATGCTGTAGGATAAATACTGGACTGCAAAGTTGGTTTGAACTGCAAGGTTGGTGGTTCAGAACCACCAGCCGCTCCTTGGAAACCCTATACTGGGTCACTATGAGTCAGAACCGACTTGACAGTACTTAACAACAACATTACTTTCATTGCTTTTGTCTTGAATAGTCTGGTGTATGGGAGTCAACATGAAGATTATTTTCATAAACCTAGATACATATGAGGAAAGACTAATTAGTTTTAATGGTTTTCATTCTTAGAAACAGTAAGTTAAGTATATATAGTTGCAGGTTACTGTGAATTGCTTTATTTTCTTGCCAACACTTTCACTCATTAAAGTCAGGTTTTTAAAAATTTCCTCCTTAATAAGTAAGGGCAGTTACTTGTACTTGGCCAGCTTTTTAAAATGGTATTGATTCATACTTCTATTTTCTAGTTCATATTTTATTTCACATTTGTTTCCCCTTTTCTTTCTCTTCATTTCCACCCTTCACATCCATGGGGATTGAAGAGCTCCTACCCAGTTTGAATACTTAACCTTAAAAAGAAAAGGTATTTGGGGAGCAAACTGATTGAAATTCCCATATTTCATTTTCTTGAAAGGAAGTGGTGTCAGATCTTGATAACTATTTGAAGTAAAAGTTAGCTGTTATAAAAAGTAGAAGATCAAATTAATCACTGAAGAATTTTTTCTTCAACCTTGAAATAACAGAAGTATGAACTTTGGTTAGTTGTATTCATTCATTCACATTAACATTAATTAATTAATTCATCAAGTATTGATTGACTTTTATGTGCAAAGCATTGGGCCCATGTTGTAAGGGTTAGGCATAAAATATAGAATCTATTGTCAGAGAATTTATGATGTACCCGTTAACAAATTAGTTTTATGGATACTCATAGGAAGCCATGGAGAAAATCATCACATGGGTTGGGGAGAAGAAATTTGTGGAAAAAATGTTGCTGAAGAAAATAGGGACAATTCTTGCTGGAAGAGGTCTGGTTGCTATAGATCTCTCAAGGTGTTCCAGGAAAGAGGGGAAGAGTATGGAGAAACCACTCTAGCTTCTCTGGTTCCAGTCAGCCTTCAGGAAACCAGAAAAGGGAAAGAAGCAGCTACTCATTACCCATGTTGTGCCCAGGATTGTTGGAGACTTCCACAAGGAGAGAAGGACTGCCTGCCTCAGAACAGGTTAACATTGTGACTAGAAGAGGTCAGAGTTAATGGTAACAATAGACACGACCAGAAGAAAATGCTGGCTACAGGAGTTTCACCTTGTCTCCTGATAAGAAGATATGTAGGTAGTGAACTAAGGCAGATTGGGGTGGTAATGGCAGCAGCAGCCACTGAGACCTTTAAGGGACTGAGTCTTCACCTATCCTGACCCTCCCATACCTATTACTATCCTGTCTAGAAGAAGAAAAAGCCTAGATAAGCTGGGATACCAGTTATTGTGCTTATGAGAGTCAGCTAGAAACAACTGGATTCATTACCACTGTAGTGTTATTTCTTCTACAGGCTGATGGTCAGGAAAATGCTTACAGTAGTTTATTTCCTAAGAATAAAAATTATTTCTTTTTCTCCTTTCCCTGTTCTCCCATATCACCACATAAAAAGAGGACACACATACTTGTATAGGTAGGTGTTCATACTGTTTTTATGATGTTT